ACTGTAGTTTTGCTACTGTTTTGGATCGTAATGTAAATATCTGATATGCAGGATGTATTTTCATTCACTGAACCAAATTTGGCACAAATACTCTATACAGCCAAATTTGAATACTGGTGGGGTTGGAAGGGATTGATATTGTCATTTGGGAGTTATAGTTGCTGGGATTTATAGCTAACCTACAATCAAAGAGCATTCTGAACTCCACCAATGACGGAATTGAACCAAACTTGGCACACAGAACTACCATGACCAACAAAAAGTACTGGTAAGGTTTGGTGGGCATTGACCTTGAGTTTTGGACTTGCAGTTCCAGAGAGCACTGTGGACTCAACCAATGATGGATTTGACCAAACTTAGCATGAATACTCAATATGCTCAAATGTGAACACTAGTGGAGTTTGGTGAAAATAGACATTGGCATTTGGGAGTTGTAGGTGCTGAAATTTATAATTCATCTACAATCAAAGAGCATTCTGAACCCCACCAATGATAGAATTGGGCCGATCTTCCCACACAGAACCCCTCTGACACCCCCTCACAACCCCTCTGGGGGTCCTGATCCCCAGGTTGAGAAATGCTGACATACCCCTGTTTAGAGGATTTCATCTTCCTATCTGTCTCTATGAAAAAAACTTGTTGTGCAAACAAGGATTGGTGAAAAGGCTTCAGTTGAGCCACCTTTTCCCCATTAAAACTGTTTCAGGATAAGTGTTCCTTTCTGAAGAGGTAGATTTCTCTCACTTCCTATTACCTCAGTCCTGTTGTTAACTATGAGTCATTTTTAAGTCAGATGTTTGTAACTTGGAGACTGCCTGTATAGATGTGCACACAGTGCCTTGGCTGTGATTTGGAAACCAATGGCCTGCTGTAAGTGTTACAACCATAGGATAAAATCTGTCTACAGAACAAGAGTGATTAATAATAATAATAATAATAAAAAACTTTATTTATACCCCGCCATCATCTCCCCAAGGGGACTCGGGGCAGCTTACATGAGGCAAGCCCAACAGTACAGCAATGCAAATAAACAACATACGACAAGAGTAAAATATAAAAATAAAATACAGAAAACAATATAAATAAACATAAACAATGTAAAATCACAGTAATTTAAACACAGAAAATAAATCACAGTTATGATTTATTAGTTAAACTATTTAACAAATAACAGTCAAACTGTTATTTGTCAGGATACATATATGAAAACAAAAATCGTGGGAGGAAATAGTTTTAGCTCAGTGGTAGAGTACAAGTTTTGCCTACAAAAGATTCCATGTTAAATCTCCAGCCCTTTTGGCCATAGTTAAGAAAGACCACTGCCTGAAATCTAGGATAGCCATCACCTACTGGTACAAATCTGTCCATCCAAATGGAGCTAGCTTACAATTCCCATAAGTTCCAGCCAGCAAACCAAAGGTCATGAAAGTTAAAATTAGGTTAGATCGGTGGTTCCCAACCTTTTTTTGACCAGGGACCACTTTGACCAGGGACTACTTGACCAGGAACCACTCTCTAACATTAGAACCTAAAGAGTTACGAATCAGTTTTTGGTCAACTTTAGGTTTGTTTGGGGTGCTGATTCAGAAAATTGCATTGGATAGACCACATTCAATGCAATAGAGAGACATCAGAGTAGAGACATCAGACTGGCAACAAAGATCCGCCTAGTCAAAGCCATGGTATTCCCTGTAACCAAGATTATGGCAACAAGAATGATTGACAACTGGAAAATAGAGGGAGAAACCGTGGAGGCCGTGACAGACTTTGTATTTCTAGGTGCAAAGAATTACTGCAGATGCAGACTGTAGCCAGGAAATCAGAAGACGCTTACTTCTTGGGAGGAGAGCAATGTCCAATCTCGATAAAATAGTAAAGAGTAGAGACATCAGACTGGCAACAAAGATCCGCCTAGTCAAAGCCATGGTATTCCCTGTAGTAACCTACGGATGTGTGAGCTGGACCTTAGGGAAGGCTGAGCGAAGGAAGATCGATGCTTTTGAGCTGTGGTGTTGGAGGAAAGTTCTGAGAGTGCCTTGGACTGCGAGAAGATCCAACCATTCCATCCTCCAGGAAATAAAGCCCGACTGCTCATTGGAGGGAAGGATACTAGAGACAAAGTTGAAGTACTTTGGCCACATCATGAGGAGACAGGAAAGCCTAGAGAAGACAATTGCTGTGGAAAGTGGAAGGCAAAAGGAAGAGGGGCCGACCAAGGGCAAGATGGATGGATGGCATCCTTGAAGTGACTGGACTGACCTTGAGGGAGCTGGGGGTGGTAACGGCCGACAGGGAGCTCTGGCGTGGGCTGGTCCATGAGGTCACGAAGAGTCGGAGACGACTGAACGAATGAACAACCAAAACCTACGGATGTGAGAGCTGGACCTTAGGGAAGGCTGAGCGAAGGAAGAACGATGCTTTTGAGCTGTGGTGCTGGAGGAAAGTGCTGAGAGTGCCTTGGACTGCGAGAAGATCCAACCAGTCCATCCTCCAGGAAATAAAGCCCGACTGCTCACTGGAGGGAAAGATACTAGAGACAAAGTTGAAGTACTTTGGCCACATCATGAGGAGACAGGAAAGCCTAGAGAAGACAATTATGCTGGGGAAAGTGGAAGGCAAAAGGAAGAGGGGCCGACCAAGGGCAAGATGGATGGATGGCATCCTTGAAGTGACTGGACTGACCTTGAAGGAGCTGGGGGTGGTGACGGCCGACAGGGAGCTCTGGCGTGGGCTGGTCCATGAGGTCACGAAGAGTCGGAGGCGACTGAACGAATGAACAACAACAACACAGACCACATCAGCTCTAGTTTCTGATACAGAACATATGCCATGGTCAGCGACAGGGAAGGAGAGGCAGGCGGCCTGAAAGGATCGGAAATAAAAGAAATAAATAAAGAGGAAGGAGGCTCACGTACCAGATATTCGTCCTCATGGCTCACTGGTGGCCCGCAGCCCACAGGTTAAGAACCACTGGGTTAGATGGGCCAAAAGTCTGACTTTGCATAAGGAAGCTTATTCCTGTGGTCTTGTTTACATAAACCCAAACAGAAAGTCTTTTTATCCCTTGGAAAGAACAGTCTTTTTTCCTTTCATCTCTCTTTGCCTCTTTCACCCTACCCTTCAAGTCATTTATTTTACTGTTTGCGTACCGTATTTCTATCTGATCCTTCATAATTTGGTCTGATGGATCAGATCAAAGACTCATTCAGCCCAGTACTCTCTAGACATAATGGATATATGGGAAGCCAACAAACAGGATATGAGTGCAATTGCACTCGGTATCTAATGTTCCTCAGAAACGGATACACAGAGGCCTCTTCCTACAAGCTTACTCCCCTTCCCTGCATACATACAACACCATAGAACACACACACACACACACAAAAGCTCTCTTTCTCTCTCATACACACACATTCACGCAAACACTTGAAATTGTCCAAAATAACAAGACCTTAGAAGATGAGAAAACACTGAACAGAAGAGAACTCACAGCAATAAGACTGGAAGATAATGGCATGCTAAGCAGCAAGAAAAATACTGAAATAAGTCATAAGGAAGAACAAAATCTACAGTCACATGCTTTTGTCATTCTGCTGAAATTAAACTGTGCTGTAGTCCCATGAATATTTTAATGCAGGGATCCTCAAACTTTTTAAAGAGAGGGCCAGGTCACAGTCCCTCAAACTGTTGGAGGGCCGGATTATAATTAAAAAAAATATGAACAAATTCCTATGCACACTTCACATATCTTATTTGTTGTGCAAAAAACACTTTAAAACAATACAATAATTAAAATGAAGAATAATTTTAACAAATATAAACTTATTAGTATTCAATGGGTAGTGTGGGCCTGCTTTTGGTTGATGAGATAGGATTGTTGTTGTTGTTATGTGCTTTCAAGTCATTTGAGACTTAGGTTGACCCTGAGCAAGGGCCAGGTAAATCACCTTGGAGGGCCGTATCCAGCCCCTGGGCCTTAGTTTGAGGGCCCCTGTTTTAATGAGATCATATGAAAATCCATACTTTGTCCAGACTCCTGTAAGTATGCTAGGTGAGTCTTTGCACTTTTTTCCAGAGTCACCAGAGAAAGAAGACAAACTTGATAAGCTCTGAGCAGCCTTTTTCTCCAGTGTTTCCTTCCTTCACAACCACTGCATCCAAAGCCTTTTAAATATTTGAATCATTATCTCTTTTAGCATCACTACAACAAGATTCTGGCCACAATGTCTTCAGCTCCATGGTAAGCAAAATATCAAATGTAAAATAATAAAGCCATGGAGGAAAAGGACAGGGAACGTCAAGGAAGCAGTAACAAAGAGGGAAGCCATATTCAGGCAACTCTCTGCGCAATGGGTTAAACCCTTGTGCCGGCAGGACTGAAGACCAACAGGTCAAAGGTTTGAATCTGGGGAGAGCGTGGATGAGCTCCCTCTGTCAGCTCCAGCTCTCCATGCAGGGACATGAGAGAAGCCTCCCACAAAGATGGTAAAACATCAAAACATCCAGGCATGCCCTGAGCAACATCCTTGCAGATGCCAATTCTCTCATAGCAGAAGTGATTTGCAGTTTTTCAAGTTGCTCCTGATATGAAAAACAAATCAAAACTGCAAAATAGAGACCCTGGCATCCCAGTTAGCGGGCAAGGGCAGAAAGGGAAAGCCAGGTAAGAGAGGTTCCACTCATCTCTGCTGCCATATAAGTTTAATAGGAACATACAAGTCTTGGTGCACCTCTGTGTTCTCCCTCAATCTACTAGGGCTTGCGGTCTGTATTATAAATGGTGTAGCAACAGCAGCAGGAAATAATCCGCAAATATTCAAATTTCCCAAATCTAAACCTACAAAAGCAGGTGGCTTACAATGCTTCCATATAGTCTTCAAGAAAGATACTGAAACAGAGGAAGTTAAAGCTCAAGCACCTTTCAAAAATACATATGCCATACACTGCATGCATTAAGTTGTAATTGCATAGACACCATGAAAAGATGAGATGGTACTAACTAGGACACATTTTCCTGGTTCCAGACTCCAAACAGAGTTTTCTGTGTTGATCTTGTGAAGAAGGGTGCCCTCCATAAGCACACGAGGCCCACTTTCCTCCAGCACTGTAACGCGAATTGAACTACTGCCAATGTTCACAGAAACCTGGAAAAAAGAAAGAGAAGCAAGTTAGCAATGCTATTTCATCACTCACAACTCTTTTCTGACTTGAAATCAAAAGTTTGGAAAACAATCAATAGTAGAGTCAGCACTGTGCATTCACTGGGTTTAGGGTATAGGATCCTTGCAAAAGTGAAAATATTATAAAATGTTATTTTCTAATCTGAGAGAACACCTCTCTAGGAATGTCTAAGTTCTTCAGCACAAGCATATGATTAACATCTGGCAAAAGTTGATCTCAATTGCACTGGAGGACCTACAGATTCCTAGAGAGAACACTGTAATCAAATCTGCAAAAGTCAACCCTGCAAATGTGGAAGGCCAACTGTATAAATAATTTTAGCAGGAAACATAATTAGGTGCATATAAAAATAGACTACATATTACATGATATAACCAGGTTACAATTTAAAAGGCATTTAGCAGTGCTGAAAAGATAAGAATCTAGAACTAAGTAAAATTGTTTGGAAAGACAGTCTGGAGAGACATCTATATGAAAACTTAAGGATGAAATCGGCAATGGGGAAAGCAATTCGAAAGTAGAGCCCAGCACACATCAAGGCCTGGAACCAGGTCGGTAACTGGGCAGTGCTTATATGCACCAGAGAGGTTGGCTCTGATCCAATTCCAGGATCCTCAACTTCATAGTCATTGAGAATTTGGCTTTTTTTCTACCTCTGCCCCAGTGAGTACATTTGAATCATTGGTACACCCATCCCTTGTTTAGTTGTAGCCATACAATGTGGTTTACATCTACACATGGTGATGCACTTTACGGGTTCAATTTCAGAGTATCCCCAATTTTATTGATTCCAGTTGAAAGCCCTGCATCATTTAAGCGCTGCATTTTCAAGTTGCCTTCAATCCACTTGAAGTGGTCAGGATAGATGTGCCCTTAAGACAATGAACAAAAACACCCAAAAGCCTCCTACTTTATGTGGCAGAAAATTAAAGACAATGAACTGTCTTGAAGATAGTTTAGGTTGTTGTTGTTGTTCATTTGTTCCCGACTCTTCGTGACCTCATGGACTAGCCCACGCCAGAGCTCCCTGTCGGTCATCACCACCCTCAGCTCCTTCAAAGTCAAGCCAGTCACTTCAAGGATGCCATCCATCCATCTTGCCCTTGGTCGGCCCCGCTTCCTTTTCCCTTCCATTTTCCCCAGCAACATTGTCTTCTCTAAGTTTAGGTTATTTACAGCAATTCCCTTTAAAATTATTGTTGTTGTTATTCAGTTGTTCAGTTTTTTCCGACTCTTTGTGACCTCATGGACCAGCCCATGCCAGAGCTCCCTGTCGGCCGTCACCACCCCCAGCTCCTTCAAGGTCAAACCAGTCACTTCAAGGATATCATCCATCCATCTAGCCCTATATGTATACCCCCCCTTCTCCCCCCCCCGAAAGGGGACTCAGGACGGCCCTGTCTCTCGTCCCCCTCAAACATGTTTGCGATAGTAGTGGGATCGAGAGCAGGGCCTCCCCTGAAGATCTTAAACTTTGTGATGGTTCGTGGCAGGAGATACGTTTGGACAGGTAGTCTGGGCCAGAACCGTTTGGGGCAGTGGTTCTCAACCTGGGGTCCCCAGATGTTTTTGGCCTACAAGTCCCAGAAATCCTAACAGCTGGTAAACCAGCTGAGATTTCTGGGAATTGTAGGCCAAAAACATCTGGGGACCCCAGGCTGAGAACCACTGATTTGTTTATTTATTTATTTATTTATTTATTATTCAAACTTATATGCCGCTATTCCCCTAGGGCTCGGAGCGGCTTACAAGCACAGACTAAAATCTAAAACAATTTTTTTAAAAAAACAGGTTTAGGGCTTTAAAGCTTAAAACCAGCACTTTGAATTCTGCTTGGAAGCTGATCGGTAGCCAGTGGTATCATCCATCCATCTTGCCCTTGGTCGGCCCCTCTTTCTTGTTTCCTTCCATTTTCCCCAACATAATTGTCTTCTCTAAGCTTTCCTTTCTTCTCATGATGTGGCCAAAGTACTTCATCTTGGCCTCTACTATCCTTCCCTCCAATGAGTATTTGGGCTTTATTTCCTGAAGTATGGACTGGTTGGATCTTCTCGCTGTCCAAGGCACTCTCAGAATTTTCCTCTAGCATTACAGTTCCTTTGCTCAGCCTTCCTTATGGCCCAGCTCTCACATCCGTAGGTGACTATGGGGAATACCATTGCTTTAACTATGCAGATCTTCGTTGAAAGTAAAAAAAGTATACTTTTACTAAATTATAGTCGTCCCCCCCAAAAAACTAAACACAATATAGAACAAACAGCTGGAGACAGCAATAAAATATACGCAAACAGAAGCATAAAATTAAAACCATTCTCTGTAAGGTGGGTAAAAGTACACACTTCATTTCAGTGAGGTGCACAACGACATTATGTTTGAACTATGTAGGGTTCCCATTTTTGCAGGTGCAGACAGCACAGCCAACTCTCAATTTAATTAAGTGGAAAATTAAGGCAAGTCAACAGAGATATATCATTTGATACTTCACCTCCTGGAGGTGTTGGGGGTTTCCGCTGCCTGTGGGAAGGCAGGCTTCCTAGCAGACAAGTGCAGCACTAACCATATGTCAGATAGTCAAATGTGTGGTGCAGGTGCTTTGGGAGTCAAGGGAAAAGCCACCTCCATGAAACAGATGACTCTCGCAGAGATACTACACATTTGGTTTTTCCCATTCCTAAAATTGGAGCTGTGGGAAAGAAAGATCGACTCTGCTGAAACATCCATCCTTTCTCAGATCTGGTCTTCCAACTCAAGATAACAAAGAGAAGTATTTAAAAGCAGACATGTTTTCACAAATTCTGGTTTTTAATATCTCATTTGAAACATCCATGATATTATCCATGACTTTTTTGGATGGCAATATGCAAAATTTAACCACTGTGTTTTAGGGACTCTGTTTACTTCCCTAAGACTTCCCAAGTGCCACTGTGCGTTATGGGCAAATTTTGGTTCCTACCTTGCCCACATATTGTTCTGTTCTCATTCATACCTGTTACGTATTAATCAAAGTAAACACAAACATCAAATTGTGAAGTAACAAGAGAGTTTTGTATTGTACTCCTTGACTATTTACAAGTGGGGTAACATGGGAAGGTGAAATGTGAGGGGAATGGGAAATTACACCCACTCCAAGGTAAAATTTTCACACGTCACTTATCTTTCCCAGCGACATCACAGTGGGCCACTTCACCTAGCAACAGAAAACAGACAAGCTTTGACATATATGTGTGTGAGTGTGTGCATGTGCGCATATGTGTGTATATATATGTGTGTGTGTGTGTCTGTCTATCTATCTATCTATCTATCTATCTATCTATCTATGCTCTGTTTGTTTTGAGTGACATCATAACTCAAAATCCATTGGACAAATTGCCGCAAACTTTGGCCACAAGACACCTATAAACCCAAGGAGTGACCATCACTCAAAAAAAAAATGATTTTTGTCATTTGGGAGCAGTAGTTACTGAGATTTATAGTTCACCTACAATCAAATGGCATTCTGAACCCCACCAACGTTAGAATTGGGCCAAACTTCCCACACAGAACCCCCATGACCCACAGAAAATACTGTGTTTTCTGGTGGTCTTTGGCAACCATTCTGACACTCCCTCGTAACCTCCTCAGGGGTCCCGACCCCCAGGTTGAGAAATGCTGCCTTAAGGCCATCCAGTCCAACTCCCTTTACCAGGGCAACAAAAACATAATCAAAGCCCTCCTGACAAAGAGCCATCCAGCCATAGATATTTATAGATATACAGGGTTAGTCAAAATGAATAGGCCAATAAGAAAATTAATTTTAGACGAATGTATGTTTATTGTAACCAAACTACAGCTACGTAGCGACAGATAAACTATCAAAGTTTTGTCTCACCTTCAGAGATGTTCGATATGGGCGCCCCGTTTGACACGGCAGATGTCCAAGCGATAGTCCAGTTCATTCCACATCCGTTGCAGCACATCCGACGTAATGGCATCGAATGCAGCAACGTCTGGGAAGGTGTTCGTTGAGGTCCTAACCCTAACCCTAACCCTAACCCTAACCCTAACCCTAACCCTAACCCTAACCCTTGAAATTCTCGCTGGACCGTAATTACTGACATTGTTTTAGCAAATGTCATCACACAAAACGCCTTCTCTTTGCTTGATTCCGCCATTTTGAAAACAGCGACCCCTAGCGACGCCTAGCGGCATTAACGTACATGTGTGTTGCTCAAAAAAAACTTTGATAGTTTATCTGTCGCTACGTAGCTGTGGTTTGGTTACAGTAAACATACATTCGTCTAAAATTAATTTTCTTATTGGCCTATTCATTTTGACTAAACCATATTTGCAAACACACACATATATATGTATATGACAGATATAGTATCCTAGATTTGAAAGGGACCCCTAAAGAAGGACAATTATATGTTGCATGTTCCAGAGTAGGCAAATCAGACCATCTCCACATCAACACTGACAAATAAACAAGAAATACTGTTTACCCACAAGCATAAAGAAATCACATATATTAGAAACCAACACTTTCTCATTATTTTCCAGATTACCAGACTGGACCACATCAATGTGTGGCAAGGGACAGCATATATATGTGTGTGTGGGTGGGTGTGTACACCCACACATATTTTCCCATCCATTTTGGGAATGGGAAAATGTGGTATGATTCAGGATTATTTTTTTGCGGTGTAGACATGCCTTATAGTTTCCGGTTCCGGTATGGCGGTCAGCAGCAAGATTCAGAGCTGCGACCGCTGGAAAGCCTAATCTGAGGGGATCCAGGGTGATCCCCCCCCTCCGGAATCCTCCAAACTAAGGAGAGTGACCCGGAGACCATCAAGGGTCTGGTAGTGGCCCGAGTGGCCTGGGGAAACCTGGGATTCGGGAGAAGAAGGAAGGAAGACGAGGTGGAGTGCCGCCGGACAACGTGGCAGGCTCCCTCAACCTTAAGACTGCAAATTCACCTTGG